TTTCACACTTTTCCCTTCATATTTCTTGCACTTCACTTCTTTTTTTTTCCTCACACCTTCCCCTTAGTGTTTCTCATGCTTTCCCCTTTTTTCACTTTCCCCTTTACATTTCTTGCATGTTACCCCTTTTTTTTCTCACACCTTCCCCTTAGTGTTTCTCATGCTTTCCCCTTACTTTTTTCACACCTTCCCTCTCACATATCTTACACTTCTTCCATCACATTTCTTTGCCCTTTTCTCTCCTCAGTTTCCTGCTCTTTCCCTTCTCACATTTCCAACACTTTTCTCTCACGTTTGTCCCACTTTGCCCTCCACATTGGCAACCCTTTTTCTGCCTTCACCTACCCTTTCTCCTTATATTTCTCACACATTTCCCCTTGTCTTTCTTTCCTGTGACATTTTCCATGGCACATTTCTTGCCCTTTCCTCTCCTAAGGTTTCCTGTCCTTTCCCACCTCACATTGTCCAGCATTTCCCTTCATCCTTCTCCCACTCTGCCTGTCAAAATTCCTACCCTCTTTTTCCCTCATGTTTCCTCCTTCACCCTCACACTTCCCACACTTCTCCCCTCAAATGTTTCCCACATTTGTCCCCTCACACTTCTCAAAATTTCCCACTCAAGTTTCTCATACTTTTTTCATGTTTCATGCTCTTTTCCTCTCCCATTTCCTGACCTTCTTGTCCTCTCACATTTCTTACTCTTTCCTCCTCATGTTTCCTGCCCTTTTCTCCCCTCATGCTTTCCTCCCCTTTTTCACTCCTGTGTCCTGCCCTGTCCCCCTCACATTTCCTCCTTTTTAAATAACTGGCAGATGAGGTTACGAATTGCCTTGTGTTATCTGTGTATACAGAACAAAGCTGCAATACGCATTAATGAACCTATTGTCTATTCATCATTTAAACATACACCCACACTGCTCCAGGGCAGAGAGACACAGGATCTTGGGCAGGATGGCCCCATGGTGGTTCTGGGGACAGCAACCCCAGGAGGCTGAGGCCAGGACAGGAGCAGCTGCAGGGAGCACTTGGAGGCACCACCTCTCTGGAACAGCATCCAGGCTGGCGTAGCATCAGCCCCTGTATGGCAGGTCTCACACTGGTCCCAGTGGCTGCAAGTGGGGACACCCTTCCCAGATGGGGCTGACATAAATACTCCAAAGTCATATTGCTTACAGTATCTCAACTGGATCAAGAAAAACTGAGTCACATTGTTTAAACTTTTAAAAACCATAAACAAGTTGCCTAACCAAGGCAAGAGGCAGGGCAAGCCAGCAGGGCAGGAGACAATGCTTGAGTCCTGTTCTCAGGTAACGTGATGATGAATGGAAAAAGTAAGGTGGGGGAAGTTCCCAAAACCAGACCATTTCCCAAACTGCATGTGCATGCTCCACTTTAAGGTGTACACCTCTGCATATGTAAATGGCTTCTGAGAAGCAGAGAATTCTGGGAATTTAGACATTACATACGCTTTGTATATAACTGATAATTTTGGAACTTCACATGTGTTGTATACATCAGGAGGAGCAGTGTCCGCCACAACGGACACCAAAATAATATCTGCTTCCTAATACTGAAATTACAGTGTTAGAGAGTTTTATTCTTCCTGGCATTTCAGTGACATGACAGGCCCTGTTTCTCATGTCTTGGTTTCCCAGACTGGGATTTGGAAATGTTTCTTTGCTGTGTTACACTGCTTCCTCCTTGTACATAACATGAGTTGCCTTCTCATTCATTTTATTCTAAGAAATGGAACTAAGAGTGTTCAGATGAGCATTCAAATGTTCTCTTGGTATCATCCTGCAGAGATTCCAAGCCTCAGGCAGCAGACACAGTGAAGTGTGGAAGATCTGTTTGTTGGGGGGCTCCAAGGTGACAAGCTGACACTATGGCAGGAGCTGGTTCCTGAATGGTTGCCATGACCTTTGGCAGCCTCTCCATCTGATCCAGCCTGAGGATGCCTGAAGAAAACTGGCCAGTCACGGCTGCTACTGCACATGGCACAGGCTGGGCATTTCCTGGATAAGGTCACAAGGGTTGTGGAGCCATGGGGCCACTATCCCCTCAGGAGCTTACCAGCCAGAGCCTGTACTGTGGTAAGGTAAGATGGAAAACACCTTATGGGTCAAGATGGTGGCAGTTTTTTAAAAGAAATGCAAAGGTCACACGTGCAAAGAAGAAAAGCACTGCAAAAAGGGCTGACGTGCCACATGTGTGACTGGGAGGAATGACTGATGTCCCTGTGGGTCCCAAAACTCCCTCCAACCCCATAAGGGACACTGGGGACATGGGAGACAAGGGGGATGTTTGGAACATGGGGATCAGGCGTCCTGATGGGTCCTCATGAGGACACAGGGACAAAGGGAGCTGGTGGATCCCCATGGAGACAAAGAATTAGGGGGGCTGGTCGGTCCTTCATGAGGATGCAGGGACAAGGATGGCTGATGGATCCCCATGGGGACATGGAACTGGGGGCAGAAGGGCAGGATGCCTGGGTGAGGAATGGTGCCCCTAGCCACTGGGAGGCCTCACCCCAGAGATTTTTCTGTAATGTCACAATCATGGCTACAAGCCCTGTTCTGAGGCATGAAAAAACAGAAGAGCAGGATGCCTGGGTAATGGGCACATGTATCTTGGTCTTTGAGCTGAATAGAGGTGTTTCTGAGCTCAGGAACATCTGAGCATCAGCTCCAAGCTTCACCAGGACTTGGCAGCCTTCAGCAGGCACCAGATGAGGAGGGACCAGTGCAAGGGGCATCCGAAGGATATTTAAACAGCTCTAGGAAGTCTGAGTGACCTGGAGTGAGGCGAACAGGAGTGCATAACCCAGAGCATGGCATGGAATGGCAGTGAGTGCCTGGCATGGCAGCTTGCACAGCGGTTCACCCAGGCAGGGCAGGCAGTGGGGCAAGCAGGAAGAACTCCTCTGTGATCATCTGAGAGCAGCCAATAGTCAGCAACAGACTCAGTAGCTGGTAAGGAAAAGCATGAAGAGATCCTTTCATCCCCAGTCTTACTAGCTTACCAGTTATGGTACTGACATACCCAACCTCTGTGGATTCCTTCCAACTCAGAATATTTTGTGATTCTGCATGTCATAGGCACCACATGGGGATGGATGACATTAGGGACTGCAATGGGCTGGGGGGAGATCTGATGGCATACAAGGGGGACCCTATGGGGCTGACAGTGGCTATGAGGCTTGAAAGTCTGTATGTGGCTGCAATGTGGGGTGCCAGCTGAGTTTGGGGGGACATAGGGGACCAGGGGAGCCATATAAGAGCAAGGGGACATATGGGGGAACTAGTAATGACCTTCGGGTTCAGTGTGTCCCCTGGTGTCACCACATCCTGAAGAAAGCATTTTATGCAGACCCTGGTCTGAGAGGCCTGCTTTAGAGGCTTGCTAAAAAGGGAAAACCATCAAGTGAAAGTTTTGGCCATGCTAGACACAGGTGCAGATATAACTATTTTCAGCACCCATTTATGGCCAAAAGGATGGCCTTTGGTAAATGCTATTGATACTGTTCAGGGGGTTGGGGGTGGCATGGCACCACAGCAAAGTCTGTCTGTTATTCAAATACAGCTTCCTGAAGGCCAGTGCATCACTTCAAAACCATATGTGATGCCGTTACCTGGTAACCTACAAGGTTTAATTGGTCGTGATGTTCTCTCACAAGTAGGTGCAACTTTAAACATCCCTCAATCACAGTTTTTATCCTAAAGGTCACTGCTGAGCAGCCACCCATTCCACACATTCAATGGAAAACTGATAAACCTGTATGGGTTGAGCAGTGGCCTCTTACAGAGTAACGGCTGCGCATTGCACATCATTTAGTGGATGAACAACTTAAAGCTGGTCATATCAAACCCTCTATCAGCCCCTGGAACACTCCTATATTTGTTATCCCCAAGAAATCTGGGAAATGGCGTCTTTTGCATGACCTTCGCAAAGTCAATGATCAGATGTGGCCAATGGGAGCTTTGCAACCAGGTATGCCTTTACCTACTATGTTAGGATACAGATCCCCAAAATAGGTTAAATAAAGCCCTATTTACACTAAATTATTTAAGTTTAGCCACTGGAGCAGAACAGCCTCCTGTTGTAATACATAATAGTGGCACAAAGATGCAAGCCATTCCTGAAATTCAACTGCGATATAAAAATCCCTCTACAGGTCAGTGGGAAGGGCCAAGTCCATTGTTGTTTACTGGTCGAGGTTACAGTTGTGTCTCTACAGATCACGGACCATTATGGGTACCAAGTAAATGGACTCGCCCAGCACCAGTTTCAGACCAAAAGACCTACGAGACCCTTCTGAGTGATGACAGTGAGTAATCCTGAGTTCAATTCTAGGTTGTTAGCAAATTTGCCTGCCCTGCATGTCATCCCCAGAAGAACAACGAAAATATAGAACACAACGTTCGCTAGCAACAATATTAACAAATCAGCCATTTAGACTATGAGCTTTTAACCCTGTGCTAAGACAGCTATGTAAAGTAAAAAAAAATACTGCCTGTGTAAATTGTAAAGAGTTAACAAAAATATTATTAAGTTGTGGCAATTGTAAACAATCGTTTGTTATTCATTGTAACAACTTGCAAAATAGTCATGCTTTATGCGTAGAATGTCAGAATAAGTTTGCTGATATTACTTTTGAAAATACTTGCAAAAAAATTGTTAAACCTTCAGCCAGACCAGCATTTTCCAGAAATCTGATTATCAGAAAGTATTTGCTTGCTGGTGGGCATTGACAAAAGGATTGATTATTATTTTAGCTACTAAGAAAACATCATTCTGAATCTATTCACAAAAAACTTTCTCAGCTGCAAGACAACTTGAAAAAACTTACTATTGTGGAAAATCCTTTTGACAAATGGCTCAAAGATTTAAGAATCACTGGCTGGCTGAAAACTTTATTAATATAAGGTATTTGTTTTATTGCAATTGTTTTTTCTGTAATTGTAATACTTTGTTGCATTCTTTCTTGTATGAAATTTTAACATCCTCCACGCCTCTGACGCCATCAAAGCCATTTCCTTGTTTAACTTCATTTTCAGGAGTGTGACTCCGTAACGATCCATCATCAACTGATGGGAGCTCAGCCACAAGGCCAAGTGTGGGGTATCCCCCCAGCACACTCCTCCAGCAGCTGTCACCCCAAATCTGTTTAAGGGCCATGGGGAAGGATTAAAGTTCATAAGGAGCAGACAGGGAAGGGCATGGGGAATTGTGGAGCTCGCAGGGGGAGTACAGGACTCAGTGGGTGGCAGGAGTGCTGGACTGGGGGTGTGCCCAGGTTGAGTAGCAGGTGTGTCTGAGGTTTCTCCCTCAATGCATGCAGTGTGGGGTGCATTAGATGCCACTCCATGGACTGTGAAGTAGGGGCGTGAAAGCTACCTCAGGAATGCCCTGGGAAAGTATCATTGTCTAAGTCAGGGAAAATTCATTCCTCTCCCAGTACTCGAATGCTGTACTCCCTTTCACATCCCACTCATCCTGTACCCTTTGTATCTTTCAATGGTTACTCCTGTGAAAACTTTAAAACTTTTCCCCTCCCATCCCCCTCAACATGTAGTTGTGCACAAAACTGTAACTTCCCCTAAAGACAGGGCACTTGCCCTGGTGTCCTTCTGCTGGTTGCTACCCGTCCCTGCTGCCCCTCCGACTCACCGTCTGTCCCTCAGCCTACCCTCTGTGTTTTTCTATCCCTTTTGGACCCTGCAATAAATCAGTTGAAATTGTCCAGGACTCGAGTTGCCCTCCTTCTATCTGGTGAAGAAAAACATCTAGCCGGGGTCCAGCAGGTGAAAATCCTGACCCCAGCAGGGCATCATTCCGCTCATGAAGACTGAGGCACGATTCAGAACACTGCATGTGTGACGTTTCTGGTGCTAAGGATGCTGGGACATTTGGAGTTCCTGGGAGCCAAGGGCTGGGGCCTAGGTGCTTGCTGGGTCCAGAGATGGGTGATGGGAGCTGACTGGGTCCTGATGGGAGCTAAAGGGAGCTGAAAGAAGCACCAGGGTCCAGGGTTGCATGACAGAAGCTGGGCAGGTCCAGGACTGTTGGTGGATGCTGGCAATATCCAAGGCTGAGTGATAGCTGGAGGTCTGGGGCTGCGGTGAAGTCCAGAGTCGGTGATGGGACCTGGAGTGGGAAGTTCACGTTTTATGACCCTTCTTCAGTCATATTTTCACTTTTCTTTTCATATTCCCCACAATTTTCCCCTATGTTTCTCACAATTTTCTTCTCACATGTCCCAACCTTTTCCCCCTACATTTTCTAGGCCTTTTTCTTTCCTCATGTTTCTTACAATTTGCTCCTCCTGTTTCCTGCACTTTTCTTCCTTCACATTTCCCTCCCTTTTTTACCTCAGGTTTCCTGTCCTTTTCCTCATATATTCCCCACCTTTTAAATAACTTGACAGATTGCAGAAGAAGCAGCCTGCTTGGGCCATCCTGACCTTGATTAACAGCTCTTCTCCCATGGGACAGTGCATACCAAAGGATCAAATACAGCCATAAATACCTGTGCTTTGACATACAGCCCTGAAAACTGGGCTGTGAATGTCTGTGGGATTAATTTTAAGAGCTATAAACATCAGCTCTACTCTTCTTTATCTTGTGTGGTTCCTTTCTCTCTCCTACCGGCTGACTGTGTAATTGATCCTAAAACTAGTACACAGAAGAAACATATAAATACCCAAGTGTGTTTAATAAAGACAATCCTGCTTGATGACAAAATGGTGGTCTATTATTCTCAATTGCTACACAGACAAGGATAAAAACTGACTTCTGTATCTTTGTACACACTGGGCATCATGAAGCCGTCTCAGGGCTCTGCTCTGGCCAAGGCAGCCACTTCCATCCCATGCTTCCACCTTCCTACAGGTGGACCTGAGGCAGATGCAGTTGAACCACAGGCAGATGCAGTCTACACTGCAAGGCAGCCAGAGCCAGGTTTTATCTCTCTGTGGGGGCAGGGTGTTGAGGCGAACACTCTGTGTGTGGAGACACAAGGCTTGACTTCATTTTTCTCAGAAGGCTGATTTATTATGTTATATATTATGCTAAAATACTACATTATACTAAAAGAACAAAGAGAAAAGAAAGATCAGAAGGTTACAAAGAACAGGAATAGAATAGAATGCATAACAAAAATCTTGCGACTGCTCACAGCCTCGGCACAGGCGGCTGTGATTGGTCATCAATTGAAAACAATCCACATGAACCAATGGAAGATGCACTTGTTGCATTCCACAGCAGCAGATAGTTATTGTTTACATTTCTTTCCTGGGGCTCCCAGCTCCTCAGGAGAGGAAAAATCCTAGGAAAGGATTTTTAATAAAATATCATAAGAACAGCAGGGTGCCAGGGAACATCACACCAATGGATACTGAGTGAAATAGGACTGAACATCTTCCCACCCCAAGTAACTGCTGACAGGCAGGTAGGAGGAGCAGGCAGGAGCAAGGGCCACCTTCAGGCAGCCTCTCTCTGCAGATTCTCTTGCAGATGAACAGTCTAGTGCAGTGTGTCACTGCCTTGTCACTGCCTTGTCCTGGAGTGACACTGGAAGAGACAGCCCATCTGCCAGCAATACAGGCGGCAGCACTTCTGCACACACAAGCTGCCTCCTCTGACAGCAGAATCCAGTAGCTGATTGCTTCTGCCAGGGTAGGAGAACAGCCATCACCACGGCCAGCAACAGCCACCTACTTGTTCCCATTGCTCAGGGCATCCACACTGAGCAGAGCACAACCACAGATATTCAGAGCTTGTGGGCTGCACCACACCATCAAGAAGCCTATGTTGCAGGTGCAAACAACAAGAACCGGATCCCTATGCATGACATCCCTCACAAGAAATGCATGTGAAGCCAGAGACACAGAGACAGAGCAGAATGGTGAGACTGGGCACACAGCATGGCTTCATCAGCTTCCCCTGGGCAGAGATGCAGGGACATGGTACTGGAAAGAGCAGCATCATTAAATGCAACCTCAGCAGCAGGTCTCTGCTGGTGTACCACAAGACTGCAAAGGATCTGAGCATTGTGTTCAAGACAGAGCCTTCACAGGAAGTGGAGATGAGAAGCCCAGCCTGTGCAGAGCACAGACTGCCCCTGCTTAGGAAAGCCAGACAAATTTTTCAGTATTTTGAAAAAATCATGAGAGGGTGCTAGAGCTTCTGAAACCAAATTTTCCAATCATGCCACTTTATCTGAGGAAGAGAAATAGTGGGAAAATGATGGATAGCACAAGCTGTGCCGAGTGAAGATATCAAGGACAAAGAGCTGTCCCAAAATGAAGACAAAAGATCAAGAACTGGCTGAAAGGCAATAAAACAATGAGAAAGATCTGTCTCAAGGTGAATACAGGAGATGAAGAGTTGGCACAGTGAGAAAAATATAGTGATAAAGAGCTGTCATAATGGGAATACAACAATGACAAAAACATTTCCCAGGAGGAAGATGGGAATGACAGAGATATCCCAAGGCAAACACAGGAAAGACAAAGATCTGTCCAAAAGGGAAGAGGTCAATTTACCCAGCAGGAAGATAACAAAGACATGTCCCAAGATGAAGATCATTTTGACAAAGGCATACCCTAGTAGGAAAATGACAAGGACATAGAGGTCTCCCATAGGAAAGACAATGTCCTAACAGGAACAGGAGAAAGACCAAGACCTTCCCAAGAGGAAGGCAGCAATGACAAAGAGCTCTCCCAAAGGGAAGATGACAATGAACAAAAACTGTCTCATTGACAAGACAAGAAAGACCAAGATCTTTCCTAATTGGAAGATGATGTCAGCTACAGCACCTGGCACAACTCCTTGGGACCAGTGAACAATAAGGACCCTCACACTGCTTCCCAGAGGAGGCCTAACTGTCTCAGCAGCATGGTCACAGAGGTAGCAGGAGAGGCAGCTAGTGAGCTAGTGACCTGAGCACCTCTTGTCCCAGTGGGTGCCACATCCTCTGAGCCAGCTCTGGTCTGAGCTCCTGAGGAAGGGGAGCACCATGCATCTCTTGCTGCTGAGGCATAAGAGGCAGCAGTAACAGCTTCTCCCTTCAGTGTGCAGGTGACAGGTGCAGGGGCAGAGCCAGGCAGCTGCACTGCACAGCACCTGCTGCTCACCCAGTCCTTTACCTTGCTTGTTGGAAGCCCATGCCCACAGCAGGCAGTGGGCAGGGACAGTTGGAGGTATCAGTCCTGTTAGTGCCAAAGACCAAGGATGGAGCCTTTGCTAATGAGGAGGAAGAGTGGAAAGACTACATCAACTAAGATCTGTCCCTAGAGGAAATCTACAGTGTCTAGGGCCTGTCCCAAGTGATAAAAGGTATCCCAAGAGAACAAGACTATGAACTTCTACTGAAAAGGGACTCCCTAATCCTGTCCCCTAGAGACACAGGCATTTTGCCTGCATAGCCACATACCAGTCCAAGCTTTGCCTTACCAGATGGAAGTCTATGCCCTCAGCAAGCAGTGTGCTCTTTGCTGGTAACAGTCATCCCGCTTCAGGAGGGCATTCCAGGCTCTGCACAGACTGTTCGATGGCTCTGTATAGTAGCACAAGGATGGGACAGAGGATTAGCACCCTACTGCCAGGGCCAGGCTAGTCTCTAGAGATATGGCTGGCCCAGAGCCTGTGCAGCACCCTGAGGGAGCCACGCAGGCTAATTTTGCTGTGAGTATTTTGATAAAAGTTGATGACTTTGCAACCCAATTTCCCCCCATGTTTCCTGCCCGTTTCCCCTCACATGTGCCATACTTCCCTCACACATACTTCTTGCATTTTCCCCGTACTGTTTCCCTGCCCTTTCTTCTCCTCAGATATCCTGTCATTTTTCCCCTCATGTTTCCCACTCTTTTCCCCTCATGCTTCTCACACTTTTCCCCTCATATTTCCTGTCCTTATTCTAGTCATGTTTCCCACTCGCTTCCTGTAAAGTTTCCTGCCCTTTCTCCTCTCATGCTTTCCTCCAACCACGTCACCCTCATATTTCCTGCCTCTTTAAATAGCTGGTAGACGGGGGTAAAAACTGTCTTGTGTTTCTTCGCGTGCACACAGGAAAGCTACAATACTGCATTAATGAACTTATTTTCTATTAATAGTCATCTAAACATATACCTCACAATGGAGACTCCCGCCTGCCCCGCGCTGCTCCGGCCCGGAGAAACACCGTGTCTCGGGCAGGCCAGCCCCAGGACGCCCAGGAGCGGTGCTGGGAACGGCAGGCACGGCCGGCCAGGGCTTTGGCCGGAAAGTCCGCGGGGAGCGGCGGCAGGCACCACCTCCTCGGAGCAACGGCCTCACCCGCCATCTTCTGCCTGGCGCCAGCCTCTGCAGCGCGGACCCGACTCCAGTCCCGACCGCTGCTCCTGGGTACGCGCTTTCTGGGAGAAGCAAACGCTCTTTTCTGTCTCCGTAGGGATTGGTCTCGGCTGAGACCGCCCCCGTTAGCAGCCAGCCGGCAGCAGACACCTTCCCACTCCGGCAGCCCCCAATCCCTGTCTCCCTCCCTCACGGGATAGCCGTGCCTTCCACGCCCGTTCCGGTTTGGCGGCGCGCGGAGATTGGCTTTTCGATCCCGGCGGCCGGAAGCGGGACATTTGAACGGTAACGGACTCTCTAAGCTGCTCCGCTGTGGGGTCTCTGCCTCGGGAAGGAGTAACACTCGGGACGGCTCCTGCCGGCAGCGCCCCAAGGAGCGGGGTGGGACTCGAGGGTCTTCTGGCCGCTGCGATTTGGGATCGCCGCGCTCCCGCGCCTTTCTCCGGGGAGCCGTGACAGGTCTGTAGGAATAGCAGCCGCTCCGCCTTCCCCGGGGGCTGCTGCTGAGTCGGTTCCTGTGCCCGAAAGCATGCATGAGCGCAATCTGCGGTCTCCCCTTGTAGGTGCTGAGAAGAGCTGCCCGCGTCCTACGGGTCGCAGAATGGCCGGAGATGACTATGAGGAAATTCTCAAGTACTATGAATTACACGGAACAGTCGGCACAGGTGGGCTCAGTCTGTGAATGTAAATAAGTGTATGTGATGTGTCCACTCATCTCGATGTTTGAGAGATTAACTGTTATTTCAGAGTCCGTGGTTCACGTTTTCTCGGTGTATTTTGTGGGCCACAACTGTGGAAGTGTAACTGGAAGGTGGTGGCAGCAATTGGTTCTTCCTCTAGCAATGATGCTACATGCTGTGCATACGGTATTTGCTTCAGGGCGACTGAGATCAGGGTGAGAAATCTTGTCATCATGCAAAGTTTTATACATTTCTGTTTCAAATTCTAGGTGGGTTTGCAAAGGTAAAACTTGCGCGACATCGTCTCACTGGTGAAAAAGTTGCAATAAAAATCATGGACAAGCTTGCTTTACAGGTAATCCAAAAGATACTTCAGAGGTGGTAATGTGCTGCTCCTATGGAGCTCTCAGGAGCACGGGTGCAACCTGTGTCACTGTCAGCTAGTGGTAGATGCTGTAAACTTGAAAGAATTTTAATGGCGCCACAAATCCTGTGCCTTCATGTGAAGAGGGTAATATTCCCTGGCTGTAAAACTGAAGCAGTTACAGCTTTAAATATTAAGTAATTAAATAAACTACTGTAAGTCAAACGGAGTGCTGATGAGAACAGTAGCAATGTATATCTGCCTCTTTGGGTTTTACTGACCAGTGTGTGAGGAGAGCAGGTGAGCTGTGAGAGAGCTGGTGCTGGTTTGAGTTTGAGCAGTTCTGATGTGTGGGCTTACTTTGAGGTATAAGCTGTCAAACTCCTTGGCAATTTCATACCTTGCTGTTGTGATCTTTTAGGATGACTTGCCTCGTGTCAAATTAGAAATCGATGCCATGAAGGACTTGAGTCACCAGCACATTTGCCGGTTGTATCATGTGATTGAGACACCCAAGAAAATATTCATGGTTTTAGAGGTAACGAATGGTGTTTCTGCTATGGCAAAAATCTCTGGGTTTAGCCATAGCAGTAGATGGTAGTAGAGTCCAAATGAAACAATTCTTAGAAAATCATCTCAATTATGAGTGTGTCCAAGGTGCTGTAGTTTTAAAATGAAGCTGATAATGTGTTCTGTCTCTTCGTAAGAGCCACTTTTCACTGTTTGCAATAAACAAACTGACTAATTCCCACCTCACACTGCAAAAAACAGCACCGGCAGGATATGTGGGACCTGAGAAGTGCCACCGAGTTGTCACGTCTTGGGCAGTTTCTGTCACCTGTGCTGGTAGTGTGATACGGCTGTGGCAAGCATCAGGCAAGAGTTGGGCAATCTTGTTGGATCTGTTGCACACTGGCCTGGGGCATGCCTGGGTGCTGCTGGGATTAAGCAGAGGGAAGGAAAGAAGAGTGCCTTCCTGCTGTCCAGTGCCCTTGTTCATGTTCACATTTCAAGACTCTGTCCCAAATGTACTTTTTTTTTTCCTGCTTTCATGCAGTACTGTCCTGGAGGAGAGCTGTTTGATTACATAATTTCTAAGGACCACCTTTCCGAGGAGGAAGCTCGCATATTTTTTCGGCAGATTGTTTCAGCAATTGCGTATGTGCACAGTCAGGGATATGCCCACAGAGATCTCAAACCAGTAAGTCTGAACAGTAGTTGAATTTGCACAAATAATAATGAACACCCACGTTTATTTCTCTGAATGGAGCTGGTGTGAGTTGTCTTCTCTGTTCTCCTGTGCTTAGAGCTCTTTAGTTAGCATTTGCTGAAAGAGCATTATTTCTACTTATTGCTTTGTTCCTCAACTGAACTGGATGTAGCTGTATCTGAGGAAGGAGCTTTCTCTGGAAGAGAAGCAGAATAGTGCATTCCAGTTGAGAGTGGAGCAGACACAGATTTGATTTTGACTGCTGGTTAGGCATTTTCGCTATCCCCTTTATTCCAGCATATACCCAGGGAGAGTTAGGGTTCCTCTCTATTGTGCAAACTGTTCTGACATTCAAAGGAAAATGTGACTCCCACAGTGTAAACAAGTAAGGATGGAGAAGAGATGTGCCACAAAACTCATCCTGTGGCTTTGCTGTCACCACAAGAATCAAGCATGGGCTTAGGGAATGGAAGCCTTGAGGCTATTTCTCCTAGAAGGGGCTAGAAGTTTGCATGTTCAGAGACACTGATAACTGAGAAAAGCAAGTTCTTTGGGTACAACTCTTTTACTACACAGCTTATGAAATCCTTGTCTCCAAAGAGCTTCTCTGCAAGCAAAGCCTTCTGTGCCCCTCTTGGTAAGATTTGGATTGTAGCTGGAGACCTTATGGATTCATAGGATTGTGAGATAACTTGGTTGGGAATTGACTTCTAGTGGCTTCTGCTTTTATCTCCTGATTAAAACAGTGTCAGACCAAACTTTTCATCCAGGCACATCTTAGACCTCTCACTAGGATAAGGCACCGTAATGTTGCTGGGAAACCTGTTAGGCTCTTTGCTTACTTTTTAATGAGAAAGGCATTTTCTTAATACCAGTCTGAATGTCTCCTGAAGCTTGTTGATTGTCATCCCACCTTGTGCCCTCTGGAAGGGCCGGTGCTGTCTCTATGCCCCCTTTGTAGGAACGAAAAGGCTGCCATGAGGTCTCCACTGGAGCTTTGTCACCTACAGGCTGAAAAACTATCTCTCTCTCAGCCTCCTCATGGAAAAAGTGCTCCAGCACCTTGGACAGGCTGGTTTCCATCCACAGACTTTACCTCAGTTTGCTGTCTTCCCAGTGCTAGAGGGTGGGCAGAAACTGAATGTGCTGTTCTCACTGTGGTGAAGAGAGGGCAAGTGGCTTCCCCCACTTTGCCAGCTCTGCTTCTTTTCACACCATCTGGGATATCACTGGCTGCATTTTCTGCCAGGGCAGGCTGCTTCCTCACAGTTTTTGCTTTCTGTGTAGCAGCCCCCTAGGCCACTCTGAGCAGATAGGAGCTTGTATTCCCTATCTGGGATATAGGATATATTCATTAGCAACAGACCAAAATCTCCAGAGGACAGCTTCAAGTAAATTACGGCTGGTAATGGCAAGAAGAAATAAGGTGAAAGAAAGTGTGGTTTCTTGGATACCTGGCGTTATGTAAGAATTCATTACCACTTTCTCTTTTACTAGGAAAATTTGCTGATTGATGAGGAACATAACCTGAAGCTGATAGACTTTGGACTCTGCGCAAAGCCAAAGGTAAGGGTGTCAGTTGCTATCATAGCAGAACTTAATCAGCTACAGTGCATACATAAAAGTTGGAGGTGTGACTTCAGGGTGCAGTGCAGAGCCTTGCCCTGAATTCGAACTGTTGGTATAGTTGTCCCACTGCTAATTGCTTAGTAGGGCCACACCAGTGTGAGAGTTTTTTTGTGCAGAATATCAGTTTTCCTCCTCTCGCACTTCATCTTTCATCCCAAAATAAGGAACAGATTGCCTTGTGTGTAGAGTATCTACTCCCACAAAGGCTTGCACTGTAAAGCTAATGTTGGTGTCCATTTGCCCCTAGTAATTTTTGATGGAACATGTCATTTTCATAGGATTTGTCATGTGTGGAGATTGTGGATCAAATCAAATAGATTCCCCTTACCTTTACAAAGCCTCTGGATCCACATGGTAGTACTAAGTAAACAAGTTTAAAGTTCATTTCTATGTTGCTGCTCTGTTTGTCATCTTCACATACGAGATGGGTTCTGGGAAGAAGAAATTTCATGGAAAGAAGATCTTACTGATCCGAAGTCTGCAGATTGTTTTAGCTGAGTCAAGTTAAAGCACCTTGCAGGAAATCGGGAGTGTTAGACCACTATCTTGGTGGTAGAATGTCTTCTCACTCTGATCTGCTTAAAACAAAGTCCAGGCTAAGGAATAACACATTTTTAATATGGAAGCATTTCAGTGGCTCTTCATGAAGTTATTGCCTTAAATATTGATACAAATATCCAACCAGCCTCATGCCCAGTAGCTCTTGGATTACTGATTCCCATGTTCCATCTGTTTTTTTTCTGGTCACAAAGGGAAGTATTCCTATCACAGGAGGAGCTGCAGAAAAGGCTGCTGGGAGAACATGTGAAGGAGCAGCTTTGAATCTTGAACGTTTATAGGAGTCTCCTGGTTTTGGACAGTTTTTGTTTGGTGAAGCCATATATTATACCAAATGTATGCAAAATGTTCATAGGTGACTGTATATAGACAGCATTGGAAAATGGAGCCTCTGAGGCCTCTAATATGTTGCTACTAGAAGACACTGTTTGTGCTACAGCCAATGCTTCTTTGTCATCAGTTTTGTCTTATTCTAGGGTGGCCTTGATTACCATCTGAACACCTGCTGTGGAAGCCTAGCTTATGCAGCACCAGAGCTGATTCAGGGCAAAGCATACATTGGCTCCGAGGTAGGTGATACAATTGTGGGTTAGGGTATTTTTTTTCTGTGTGCACCATGTATTTAAAGCTGGTGAGATTCAGATATACTCCCCTGGTGTCTTTCTTCTCTGTCATGTTACCTCAGTGGCGGTCAAAAGCTGTGTGACTGAGAGCAGTCACAGCCTGGAATAGTTCCTGACCA